CCTAAACCCTAATCTAGGTTATCTATTTTAACCCGAACTCTAAACCCTAATCCTTAAACCCTAGACCCGAATCCCTAAACCCTAGACCCTAATCCCTAAACCCTAGCCCCTAAACCCTAAACCCTAAACCCTAGACCCCAAACCCTAGACTAGGTCTATGGTAACCTGAAAGCTTGTGAGCGCCAGCCTTCTGAGCCGATCGCAGGGGATCTTCTTCCTTGCGCCCTCGCGCCCTTCACTTTCAAAGGCCTGAGAGAGGTTTAGGGTTTAGGGGTTTAGGGGTTTAGGGGTTTAGGGGTTTAGGGTTTAGGGTTAAGGGTTTAGGGTTTAAGTTTAGGGTTTCATGAAGGGTTGAGGCCTGATCGTCTTACAGGCCTTGGGCTTCGAGGTTTTACGCATTAGAAGAACATAATAGAGGGACCTAAGTAATTACCACTACTATTTGGAAAGTTCCTTATATCATATGTTAGTATAATATAGCTCAAAGCCCTGTTCAAATTATTAAGGCTCCTACATTACCTTAAATGAATGTGTACAAACTCTTGCTTGCAGCGTTGCGGCTTGCAGGTTTTGTCTTCGGCGTCTTGGGGTTTTCGATGCTGCCTAGAGCTCATGTTTCAGGTTTGTTGGAGAACCATTCCGGAATGCCAACCCTAGCCCTAAGGGTTTAGGGTTGAGGGTAGTATAGACGTTGGCCCTAAAGTAGTCATATATAAGTACTTTGCGTGGGCAATGTATCTACTGTTTGGTACATGGACCCTTAGGGTAGTTCTTGAATGCCACATCCTGCACCCTGCACAGAATCTGCACAGACCATCGGCACAGATATCTCTGCAGCCATGACATTCCAAATCAATACCCTTTGTGGAGAATAATCCCTAAACCCTCTACCCTAAGTGTTATAGGGCTTCGGGCTTTCTCGCGAATGGGTGGAGAGTTCAGGGTAATCCCTCCTGATAAGGTAATCAGGGGCTACGGTGAAAGGTAGTTTAAGGTATTGGGTCTTGGGCTCAATGGTTTGGATTTCGGGTTTAAGCCTTGCTTTCAGAAAATGAGGGACCCATAATGTAGAGCCCCTAAACCCTAAACCCTAAACCCTAAACCCTAACGCTGATCTGCTTGCAGGGTGGCAGTAGTTGCAGGTTCACGACGGGTGAGAGTGGATGCTTACAGTGTGGACCCCTCAACCCAAATCCTGAATCCTGAAGTCCTAACCCTTAATCCCTAACCCTCCTAAGCACTTCAATTCCAAACCACTGAACCCTAAACCCTAAACCCTAAACCCTAAACCCTAAACCCTAATCCTAAGCCCTACAGGCCCAACCCCTGAACCCTCGTCCCCCATATTTTTGTTTTTCCATTTTCTCAGGCTTGGTAGAAGAGGAAAGGACCCTGGAGGACCACCCGTGGGCTTTTTTCTGCATCCGAGGATTGTGGGTTGAAGTCTTTCTTCAATGTCTACCGGTGTAGGGGCTTCGGGTCTAATTAAGGCTTCTGGTCACGGTTTAGGGTTAGGGTTGACATGTTAGGTTTTTGGACCCTGAACCGCGGTGTAGTGTTGTGGATACCCGGATACCCCACTCAACGGATATGATCCCAGACTATGCGAGTAACGCCGAAGGGCAGTGCAATCAGGATCGAGGTGTGGAGAAACTCTGTTGGCCTTTGCGCTTTTCACGCTCAGTGCCGCAATGGCTGCACCCTGAATCTCTGAGGGCAGCTAGTATGGCCTGTTAACCCTAAACCCTAAACCCTAAACCCCTAAGCCTACACCCTAAACCCCTAAACCCTAAACCCAAAACAGGGTTTCGGGTAAGTCCACCCTGATGCCTCTTGGATAATGTACGACACCAACCCCAATTTCCCTCAAGCCTCGCTGCTTTACTTGGAGGGTCGAAGGACTTAGTAAATGGTTATTTTATAGACGTATAAGTAGTATAACCCCAATTAGGGTCCCGTTTAGGGTACTTGAAAGGCTACTTATTACACTAAGTCTCCCGACCCTCCAAGTAGGAGCCAGCATCTCCGCCCCAGCGGTGTCAACTGTCCTGATCAAGTCCGAGCGCTTCTGTTCTTGCAGCCCCTATAACATCGACCCCGATTTTCTTTGCGTACAGTACACAATTCCTCTAGATATCTAGACAGACAGATAGATAGATAGATAGATAGATAGATAAATGGATAGAGAGAGAGAGATAGATGGACAGATATAAATAAATCGATAGATAGATAGATAGATAGATGGATAGATAGATAGATAGGTAGATAGGTAGATAGGTAGATAGATAGGTAGATAGGTAGATAAATAGGTAGATAGATAGGTAGATAGGTAGGTAGATAGCTACCTAGGTAGATAGATAGATAAGTAGATTTGTAGATAGGTAGATACGCAGATAGATAGATATTTTTATCCATAGGTAGATAGGTAGATAGATAGATAGATAGATAGATAGATAGATAGGTAGATACATACATA